CAGGCACACTGTATGTCTGCATGATGTCCTGTAACCCCACTCCCAGGTATCAGGAAGAAGAGATGATAGTGTCTATAACACTATACTGTATGTTCACAAATAATTTAAATGATATTTAAACACTAACATTTAAAGTGTATTTTTTTAAATCTGGTTGAGAAGTGTAAAAAATACCTGTTGATCCTGCCAGAAATTTTGAGAGCTGATAACATCCTGTGCTGCCGGGCTTTGCTGACTCTTATGTAAGCATTGCTCCCAGTTCTATGTTTGGACTGCAGAACAATTATGACAAAAAGGAGAAGTGGGGGTGTTCTGTAATCTTAAAACACTTAGATATAATCATCTTAGGATAGGTTTTGTGTTACTGGCAGGATCAGCAGTTGAAAGAAAGAATAAGAGCCTAAACTAAGAAAATGAATGCAGCCGTTACATCCAAGGACAGTTAAGCTGTAATATAGTTTATTTTTCTTCTTTTTTGTTTAAGGAAGATTTATTCTCTTTACGACAACATTAAACATAAGTAGTGGCCTGGTGAGTCTTAATGTCCAGTCAAGCATATATGTGTTGCTCCATCTACATCCCCACAAACAATGACACTCAGGAGCTGGTAGGTCCAAGCCCCCAATGATGTCAGCACTGTATGGTAAATCACAAAGCGGAAAGATCTGGAGTCCTGGCTACTCATTCCGTGCATCGCAGCCCACCAGAAGTGCCCACTCTGCTCAGCGTAAAGGGCTTAAAATATATCTCTAGGAAAAACATTTTTTTTGTAGTTTTCTGATAGTGTGGGATAGGGTTAGATCCTTTATTAAGTTTTTATTGCTGCCAATGTCCTACCTGGGGAGAGTCACCCTTCTATTTCTACTGGTGAAGAAACAATTGAGTACTGACGTGATACTTTTTTTATTTGCACTAACATACAATTTTAAGGACAAGCTTTTGGGGTATGTCCCCTTCTTCAAGGTCCAGGCAGTACTACTATAAAGTTTTAGCAGAATGTTAGAAGATATGTTGAAAGGGGGAGGAAAAAAAACAGAAAGAAACACACACAAATAGATGTACACAGCAATGGTTAAAAGACTAGGATTAGACTAGAGATAAGACACAGCAAAAGCAAAGACTGGGGGGGGGGGGGGCAGGGGCGGACTGACCATTTGAGCACTCGGGCACTGCCCGAGGGGCCCGGGGTCAGTAGGGGGAACCATTAAATGCCCCTGGTACCTTTTTTATAGGCTTTTTTGAGCGTGGGCAAGGACACAGGGGTCCCATTATTATTATACAGTATTTATATAGCGCCAAAGGGTTTGCTCAGGGCTGTACAATAGCAAGGGGGGCAGAACATGAGACAAAATGGTAACAATACAATACACGAGGGGTTTGAGGGCCCTGCTTTTTCGAGCTTACAATCTAGGAGGGAGGGGAAAGTGGTACAGGAGGAAGTGGCTGTGGGGGATGGAGTGGTGGGAGAAACGTAGGAGATCAGTTGTTAGGGGAGGGTGGGGTAGGCTTCCCTGAAGAGATGGGTTTTCAGGGTGCGCCTGAAGGTGAGGAGGGTAGGTGACAGTCTGATGGATTGGGGTAGGGAGTTCCAGAGGATGGGAGAAGTCCTGGAGAAGTCCTGCAGTCGGGCGTGGGAGGAGGAGACCAGGGAGCTAGAGAGTAGGAGGTCCTGTGAGGAGCGAAGGGCACGGGTAGGGTGCTATTTGGGTATCAGGTCAGTTAGGTAGTTTGGGGGCGGCGTTGTGAATGGCTTTGTAGCTCAGAGTTAGTAATTTGAATTTGATGCGCTGGGCAATCGGGAGCCAGTGAAGGGATAGGCAGAGGGGGGTGGCAGATGTGGAGCGGTTGGTGAGGTGGATGAGCCTCGCCGCTGAGTTCAGGATAGACTGGAGTGGAGATAGCATTTGTTTGGGTAGGCCAGTGAGAAGGGAGTTGCAGTAGTCCAGGAGTGAGATGATGAGGGAGTGTACAAGTTGTTTAGTAGTGTCTGGGGTGAGGAATGTACGTATTTGGAGATGTTGCGGAGGTGGAGCCTGCATGACTTTGATAGTGATTGGACATGAGATTGGAAGGAAAGGTTTGAGTCCAGGGTGACACCCAGGACTTTGGCGTGTGGGGTGGGAATGATGGTGGTGTTGCTAGTAGTGATGGAGAGGATGGGGGGGTAGCGGGCTGGGGGGAAAACCAGGAGCTCGGTTTTGGACAGGTTTAACTTGAGGAAATGGAACGACATCCAGTCTGATATGTCGTTCAGGAGGTGGGCGATGCGGGCGGAGAGTGAGGGGGTGAGGTGGGGGGTGGTGGAGGGGTAAATTTGTGTGTCGTCAGCATAGAGGTGATAATTGAAGCCGTGGGAGTGTATTAGTTTGCCAAAGGAGGAGGTGTAGATGGAGAAGAGGATGGGTCCGAGGACAGAGCCTTGGGGGATGGTCAGCTGCCGGGTGGAGATGGGCCGGGTTCAGGTTGCGGAGGTTATGGCTGGTGATGGTTTGACGCTTTGGGGGGGGAGTTAGAGGAGGGGGAGATGGAAAATGTGAGGAGGTGGTGGTCAGAGAGGGGGAAGGGGGTGTTAGTGAAGTTGTGGGGGGTGCAGAGGTGGGGGAAAACGAGGTCCAGGGTGTTTCCATTGGTGTGGGTGGAGGACAGTGTGTGCTGTGTGAGCGTGAAGGAGGAGGTTAGGAGGAGGAGTTGGGAAGTAGCCGGGTTGTTGGCGTTGATGGGGATGTTGAAGTTCCCGAGGATGATGGTCGGTATCTCGGAGGAGAGGAAGAAGGGAAGCCAGGTGGCAAAGTCGTCTAGGAAGAGGGATGCGGATCCAGGAGGCCGATAGATTACCGCAATCCTCAGGGGGGGGGGTGGGAGAGAAGAGCTGGATGCAGTGGGCTTCGAAGGAGAAGGATAGGGAGGGGGGGTTAGGGAGGACCTGGAAGGTGCTCAGCGGTGGCAGGAGCATACCGACCCCACCGCCTCTGCGACCACTCGGTCTGGGTGAGTGGGTCCAGACGAGGCCTCTATAGGTGAGTGCTGCAGGGGAGGTGGAGTCAGTGGCTTGGATCCAGGTTTCGGGTGACCGCTAGGAGGTTGAGGGAGTGGGAGACAAAGAGGTCATGGATGGCGGTTAGCTTGTTGCAAACCAAAACGGGCGTTCAGGAGTGCAACCGAGAGAGGAGGGGTGGATGCGGGGAAGAGGGGGACAGGTATAAGGTTGAGGGGGTTGCGGCGGCTGGCGGGAGCAGGGGGATGCCGAGAGAGGGAGTGGGGAGGTGGGGGGGGGCCAGGGTTCGGGGAGATGTCCCCGGCAGTTAGGAGAAGGAGAAGGGTGAGGAAGGTGGCATGGGAACGGGATGTGCAGGAGCGTGTGGGTCTGTTGGTGGTGGCGTGTGGGTCAGCAGGGGAGTGGAGTATCAGGAGGAGGTAGTGAGAGCCGTAGTGGGGAGAAGAAAGAAGTAAAGGTGCAATGTAGAGCTGTTTTGGGGGAGTAGGGGGGGGGTAGAGGGAGGCGAGTTTGGGAATGGAGGAGAGGAGGAGGAGTGCAGGTGGCATGTTAGGGTGAGCGGAGTGCTGGTCGGATTGGGGAGGAGGGAGGTTTCAGTCAGGACCTGAGGATGCGGAGAGTCTGTCATGCAATATGCGGTGCGATGTGCAGAATCGGATCGCATAGGTGTGAATACCCATGCGATCCGATTCAGCTGTAGGGGGATTCTGAATTATACTTTGATGTTTTTAATCAAAAATTTTTTAAAAACTATCTAATTGTAGTGCAAACGTTATTGAGTATATTAATGTGACTCTGCCTAAGAGCAGACATTATAAGATGCCTGCAATTAGTAGCCGAAAAACCTCCTTCTGGCACCAGGACAAGAATAGGGGGGAAATCTTTCAATGGGCACACTAGTTCTGGTGGCCCTGGTGACAACAGTGAGGGAATCCAGGCATTTCTTCTCACTTCCTGTTTTGGCTATAGGACAGGAAGTGAGGGGTATAACCTTTGTTTACTTTATCCACAATTAAAAAAAGTTTTGCCTTTAAATTTACCATTTTTTTTAACCTTTAGTTCTACTTTAAGTTTAAATGGCTGACAGGTTCACTTTAAAGCCCAGTTGAGGTCACAGAAGTGTGTCTACACATAGGCACTCCAATAGGCACCACTCTGTCCAGTACACTCTTACTGACTTGGCTGGTCTCTTTCTCCATGGTATAGGTTTGTATGAGAATGCCTATGATAAGGGGTGTGGCCATCAGTCATTTATGTCAACATAAAGTAGCTCTTGGAAATTGAAAATTCTTAATATACAGAAGTACAGCAGTGAGACAGAAAAAATGTGAGACTTCTGTTTGTCTTTAAGCTGTTAAGGTAAGCTTAATTACAGTCCAGGGAACCAGAAACACTGTTTTTTGTATTGCCCCTAGCTGCACAACATGGATCTGTACCCCACAAACTTCTCCTTTAAATGTTTGAAAGCTGTAAAATTAATTCCTCTTGAACACTGATCTTGTTTCTGAAGTATACCATTAACCTGCAAACCAGAGATATGTCTATTTTTGAGAAATGCTTCAAAGTAGATGGTGATGAATGTTTAAATAACGCAGATGCATGATGTAGCTGGCCAGTTATGTAATCCAACATTATGTAGAACCAACAACAGCAATAATAATACTATGAACAACAGTATGTCCACAGTAGTAATCTGAATTAGAAGCTTCAGTTTTCAACTAAGAAGAGGTTTAAGGTTGCGGTTTAAATATAAAAATGCTTGCAGCTGTTCAATCTGTCAGAAAATACCTTATACACACACAATGTGAATTGTATAATTACCAGAAATGTCTATTTTGTCATATGAATTTAAACATTGTCTTTTATTCCCTAAATACATAGTAATGAAAATTGGTTTTGGTGTCTTGATTATTTGCAATTTGAGCACATGATTTCTGCTCCCATGGACAAATTGTCAACGTATCATACTGAATGCGTTGTATCCATGCCTATAGCTTAGGGCTGATTACACCGTTTCCACTAAGAGTCTTTTTGAAGGATGAGCTTGAGGTTGACTCTCTGTAAGGGGGACTTCCTCTTTTGGGATGATCCTGTGTATATCTTTACCTTTAGATCTGTAAAAAGATAAAGTTTATTTGGGTATTGTCTTCTGATTTTGGGACAAGCAGGTAAAATTTGATTTAATGTTTGGAAAAGGATATAGTCAGTTAAAGTCACCCTTTTGCTTCCAAAAAAAAATATATACAAAAATGGCTTCTGTAATATAAGACTTACTTCTGGACGGCACTATCTTTAAGTACTAAATCTCTGGCAGAATCTTCAGTATTCAACACTTTTGAGACTCTCAGATGCCTGCATCTCTCTCGCTGTGCACTATGATTCCATTCTGCTAGGTCTATGTCATTGCAATACTGATGTAAGGACTGATGAGAGAAACCATTGAGCACAGTGGGGGACCAGGGTGTTGGATATAAAGATTCTGCTGTAGGCTTTAGAATTTGGAGACAAGAGTTCTAGAGTCACCACTTGCCAGAGATGTACACACAGTGAAGGAAATAAGTATTTGATCCCCTGTGGATTTTGAATGTTTGCCTACTCACAAAGAAATGATCAGTCTAAAAATCGAATGGTAGGTGTATTGTAACACTGAGAGACAGAATAGCAACACACATTTCAAAAGAAATGCATTTCTAACAAATTATGCACTGATTTGCATGTTCATGAGGGAAATAAGTATTTGATCCCCTATCATTCATCAGGATTTGAGGCTACCAGGTGTCTTTCATACAGGTAACAAGCTGAGATTAGAAGCAGTCTCTTAAAGGGAGTGTGCTGTTAATCTCATTTTGTTAGCTGTCTAAAAGACACCTGTTCACAGGAGCAATCAAACAATCGGATTCCAAACTCTCCACCATGGCAAAGGGCAAAGAGCTGTCCTAGGATGTCTGGGACAAGATTGTGGGATCGCTTTCTCAGGAATTACTCTGAACACCATCTCACTTTGTAAGTAATTAAACCATAGTACATAGGATTACATTCAGAAAATAAATCCCATGGTATAGCTTATATTTGTATTATTATTTCATTTCTCTTATTGTTTAATATACTTTATTTTATCTGCAGTAAAGTGGGTATAGGGATTACATTTCCTAAGTGTCAATTAACTTTTTAGAGAATCTATAGCCATTTTATTGTTGTAACATCTGTAATTGAAAGGAAGATCAGCTAGATTTTTATTTATGTATCGCTTATAATTGTATATATAGAGAAGGCCTCCATATCTGCTCATTATTATAGTAGGCTTCAATACCCCTGGTCTTCATAACTACAGAGTTTCACAGCTTGCATAGGTTTTCAGATTGAAACATACACCTGCCCTTCAAGTTTAACCAAAAGGAAAAAATTACCAAAAGTCTTGCGTTGTAAGAACCCTTAACCTGCAGAAGTGACAGAGAAAGCCAGAAACCCCTATAAAGCAATGTTAAGGTGACTAAAGTCTATTTTTTAAATAACAAAGATGTTATACTTACCTGAATTGCACAAAGTGGGTTCTGAACCTGATTGTGGGGGGTCCCCTGCCGGCACTCCTGGCTTTTCATCTTCTCAGTGTGCCACCATAGGAAGTTGCTTCATGGTGGAACACCTCTGGAATCGATCCCGAGCTGCACTGCTCACGTCCATAAACACAAACAGCGTGGCTCGCCACTGCCCTCTGCTCCCCCATCACAGGATTAGGCTGACAGCAGCGGGGGCCAATGACTACTTCTGCATCAGTAATGCCTGTGAGAGTGAGGAGAGCTGCTACAGATGGGCACAGCACTGGATTGAGTAAGAATTCAAGTATAAGGGGGGGGGGGGGGGGGGTGAGGGGGAGATACAAGCACTGAAAGGTTTTTTTTACCTTAATGCAGGGAACGCATTATCGTAAAAAATGTTTAGGCATTTGAATCACTTTAAGCTTGCTCTAACAGAAAATTACCCTGATTGGTATTTATTTATATACAGTACATGCTGGATCAACATTCTACAGTTATTTTCTTATAAAAATTAATAACCGTTTATAGTTTGCATTAAAAAACATGTACACAGCCCTTTGTTTAGGAATTCAACTGAGCTGGCTAAAAGTAGCTCTTGTGGAAGACTATTTAACATTTTTCACATCCCTTATTATCTATTTAAAGCGGAAATCTTTCATACAGGTAACAAGCTGAGATTAGCAGCTGTCTCTTAAAGGGAGTGCTGCTAATCTCATTTTGTTACCTGTATAAAAGACACCTGTCCACAGGAGCAATCAAACAATCAGATTCCAAACTCTCCACCATGGCAAAGACCAAAGAGCTGTCCAAGGATGTCAGGGACAAGATTGTAGACCTACACAAGGCTGGACTGGGCTACCAAACTATCGGCAAGCAGCTTGGTGAGAAGGTGACACCAGTTGGTGCAATCATTCGCAAATGGAAGAAACACAAAACAACTGTCAGTCTCCCTAGATCTGGTGCATCATGCAAGATCTCACCTCGTGGAGTGTAAATGATCATGAGAACAGTGAGGAATCATCCCAGAACTACAAGTGAGGATCTTGTCAATGATCTCCAGGCAGCTGGGATCACAGTCACCAAGAAAACAATTGGTAACACACTACGCCGACAAGGATTGAAATCCTACAGTGCCCGCAAGGTCCCTCTGCTCAAAAAAAGCACATGTCAAGGCCTGTCTGAAGTTTGCCACTGAACATCTGAATGATGCAGAGGAGGACTGGTTGAAAGTGTTGTGGTCAGATGAGACCAAAATCGAGCTCTTTAGCATCAACTCAACTTGCTGTTTGGAGGAGGAATACTGCCTATGACCCCAAAAACACCATCCCAACTGTCAAACATGGTGGTGGAAACATTCTGCTTTGGGGGTGTTTTTTCTGCTAAGGGGGCAGGACAACTGCACTGCATCAAAGGGACGATGAAAGGGGCAATGTACCATCAAATCTTGGGTGAGAACCTTCTTCCCTCAGCCAGGACATTGAAAATGGGTCGTGGATGGGTGTTCCAGCAGGACAATGACCCAGAAACACATGGTCAAGGCAACAAAGCAGTGGTTCAGGAAGAAGCACATTAAGGTCCTGGAGAGGCCTAGCCAGTCTCGAGAACTTAATCCGATTGAAAATCTGTGGAGAGAGCTGAAAGTTCAAATTGCCAAACATCAGTCACCAAACCTTAATGACTTGGAGAGGATCTGCAAAAAGGAGTGGGCAAAAATCCCTCCTGAGATGTGTGCAAACCTGGTGGCCAACTACAGGAAACATCTGACCTCTGTGATTGCCAACAAGGGATTTGCCAACAAGTACTAAGTCATGTTTTGTGAAGGGGATCAAATACTTATTTCCCTCATGAACATGCAAATCAGTGCAACTGATCATTTCTTTGTGAGTGGTCAAACATTCAAAATCAGCAGGGGATAAAATACTTATTTCCTTCATTATATATATGTACATAGTTTATAAACTTTTTATCATGATTTGAACTGTGCTTATAAATGGTGATGGGCTGTATGTTCAAGTCGAACGTTAGTTCGAACTTCAGCCATGACAGGTTGTATGTTCGAGTCGAGTGAACCCCTGGGTCACCAGAACTAGTGTCCCCACTGAAAGATTACTTTTCTGGGGATAACAAAAATTTGTGATTTTCTTTACTTTCAATGATATTGGTAGACAGGAAAAATAGAGAGGATGAACCTCCTTTACAGAGGCACACACGGCAATAAAAAAAACAGACAGGTATTCTAATTCATCTCCATTCTATCCAAAAAAAAAAAAAAAAGTTTTGCCCATAGTTATACTTTAATTTGTTTAAAGTTGCATTAAAAAAAGTGCAAAACTGAAAAAAGTCTTCTATATAGAAATAAAGAACTTAAGATGTAAAGTAAATAACTTTGCAATGCCTTGTAACAAAATCATAATTTCAATATAATTTTAAACCCGACAAGTTGTAGAGTATAAATTATAGAATAAAATACTTTAATAATAACATTACTGTATATATATAGTAACACTGACCACTGATAATTTTAGATAATTGCAGGCATTCTATTCTTTGTATACCTTTATTTTTTTCTTTTCCTCCCGAATATTCTTACAGTGGTCAGTTCTACAAGGGCAGATGAATCCATCTTTTTATTTCCTGGAACTCTGCCCAGAACTTTGGGTCTACCTACTGGAACAAGTGACAGGAAGTTCCCAGGATGCAGCTGTGAGGCCATAGTTACATCACCAGTACCTCACATAACCAGGAAGTGAAAAATAATTGTATGTAAAACAAAAACAGCTTAGCTAATAAATGTAAGATGATTTCAGATCAGCATGCAGAACTTTATGCTGCTGTGATTATTAGCAAAAGGATAGAAAGATTTGCTTTATGAAATGACAATATTATTGTAGAATGAATAGGCCCAGAGCACAATTGTGAAAACTGCGTTGGTCAATTGGAGGTGTACAAATATGAGAGCTTGTACCTCTGCAAGTCTACAGATACACACCTAAGATGGTCATATACAACTTGATTAAAACAAATTATGAACAGTATTAGATTTTAGCTTTGTTACATTGCTTGGGCTGTGTAAAGACAGAACATGAATCATTCCCTGTTCTAAAAGGTGTAGAAATTCTTCGAAAAGAAGAAATTGATTTAATTTGAACAAAGACAAGCACGTTTCTTAATGTATTTCCTATATTTTATACAGATCTGCAGCACAATTTTTGGCTTGCTTCAGCAGAGGAGAAATGTAAAGTAACACTCAAAAACGTTAGACGTTTTTTGTATAATGGCAGGAATCAAGATCTGAAAATTGTATATATTTTATGTTCACCTTACCTGGCTTCAACCTCTTCTATTGTATCTGGCAACTGCAGATTACAAGTTTCATTCAAAAACACAGCTACAATCCCGGATATTATTGCTGCCACTCCATATGTTGCTGAAGGAAAGATAGGAGAAATCTCTGATAACATCAAAACCAATGGAGCAACCATGGAGCCCATGCGGGCTTTCACCGCAACAATCCCCATTCCACTCTGTCTGGAAAAGAATGGAAAATAATTTTAATAAAACAAAAATGCAATATATGTATTCCAGTGCTGACTTTTATATGACAGAATATATCCCTAAAGTTGATTTGTATTTATTGTAACTCCCCCAAGTTGCAGGCAGCTGTGCAAAGTGAATACGTATAAGTGTCAAAACACACAAGCAGATTCTTTTTTATGTTTTGGGAACAACTATTGCGCAATTCTTATAAAACTGCAGTGCTTGTGAGCTACTATGGTGTATTTAAATGAATTTATAATGTGAAACAATGTGTATTATTCCTGTGGTTCGCTTACACTTATACACATACCCATATAAATGTGTGATAATGATTGTTAATTGTATTAAATTAGTGTCACACTCCACTATAATATATTAATTGTGTTGTGTGATAAAGTGACAATATTTCTATGCATATAAAAAGATGCTTAAAAACTCAACTCATTTACATGCAATCTGTGCTCTAATTAAAAAGACTTTCAAAAATAAATAAATAAAATATATTAGTGATCATTAATAACTTAATTAGAATAAAATATATTAGTGTCCCAAATTCAAATATATAAATATAGAAAATATATAAAAAAAATTTAAAAAGTCCACCCTGTGATTACTTTCAGAATAATATTCCTTCTCCTCTATGCGCTCACCTTATTTTTAGCCAAACTGTTAAGTGAGGCTAAAACAGTTTGTGTCCGTAATTTGGACTAGTGGGTAATTTTCAAGATTTATCTTTATTCCAGGGAGATGGGTAGATGGATGTAATTATAAACTTTTTCCACAGGGGGTCTTATGAGCTTGCTGATCCCTGTTTTGATGGTTTAATATGGATGAATGGATTTCTCCCTCTTTCCTCCAGGGGTTTTTTCCACTTCCTTCTCCTCTCCTTATTTCTCCATATTTGTATGGTACCATGCAATCAAAAGAATAAATATAGTGCCTTATCCTTTTTATATTATTTATTGTTGTAACGGACCGCCTGGCGGTACCACTAGCACTCCACTGGTCAGGTGCCCCCAGAGTACGGAATCTAAGCCCCAGAGCACTTGTTCACCAGGGCCCCTGATGGTGGGGATGGACTTGGAGCGCTCTGAGACCAGGTTGTGACTACTGAGTACACCCACCAGTGGTAGGGGTGTTCGCCAGGGGCTCCCACAGGGGAGAGCCTGATATGAGGAGGTCGGGTGACCCCGATGGGATGGATGGCTGAGCAGGTGCGAGGTCAGACAAGCCGGGTCGATAGCCGTGGGGACGGTGCGGTACAAAGCAGCGGGCAGAGAATAGTCTGGTCACACGCCAGGTCAGCAACAGAAGATCAGATCCAATAGGGGGCATCCAGGAGAGAGGTCAGGCAAGCCAAGGGTCAGAGCAGGAGAATACAGCGTGGTCAAGGACAATCCGGGTCAGCAACAATCAGGATACAGGTTCACAGGTAACAGGAATGCAGAAAAAACCAGACGGAACTCAATGACAGTTCAGGGCTGTTTAAATGCGCTGTCATTGGTGCCAGGCACGTGCCCGCAGCCTCTAGTGTGCATGCGCGAGTTTGGCCGGCCCAGACCTAGTGCCCGCGTCCCTGCACAAAGTGGCGCACTGCGCCTGCGCCGGGACCAGCGCCGCGGTGATCCCTGACAATTGTGCTTCAAAATAAATCCACTCACATTTAAAATAGGTAAAAAAATGCTTTGTATATAGTATTGATGTCCTCTGTGTGTTCTGCTCTGGATCGAATCTCCCAGATGAAGCCACGTGACCCGGTGGCGTAACGTGTAGGGGAGGGGCTATGACATCACGACGCTTAAATGAGTATCACACGGCGAGTGCATACAGTGTGCAGAGGACACAGAGGACATCAATACTATATACAAAGCATTTTTTTACCTATTTTAAATGTGAGTGGATCTATTTTGAAACACAATAAATAATATAAAAAGGATAAAGCACTATATTTATTCTTTTGATTGCATGGTACCATAAAAATATGGAGAAATAAGGAGAGGAGGAGAAGGAAGTGGAAAGACCCCTGGAGGAAAGAGGGAGAAATCCATCCATCCATATTTAACCATCAAAACAGGGATCAGCAAGCTCATAAGACCCCCTGTGGAAAAAGTTTATAATTACATCCATCTACCCATCTGCCTGGAATAAAGATAAAGCTTGAAAATTATCCACTAGTCCAAATGAAGGACACAAACTGTTTTAGCCTCACTTAATGGTTTGGCTAAAAATAAGGTGAGCGCATAGAGGAGAAGGAATATTATTCTGAAAGTAATCACGGAGAGGACTTTTTTGAATTTTTTTATATATTTTTTATATTTATATATTTGAATTTGGGACACTAATATATTTTATTCTACTTAATTTATTAATGATCACTAATACATTTTATTTATTTATGAAAGTCTTTTTAATTAAAGCACAGATTGCATGTAAATGATTTGAGTTTTGAAGCATCTTTTAATATGCATAGAAATATTGTCACTTTATCCCACAACACAATTAATATATTATCGTGGTGTGCGACACTAATTTAATACAATTATTAATCCTGTGCAATTCTTACATAAAAGTAGTGAGTTCACTTGCCGAGGTTGTAATTTGTCTACCCCATCTGTCTTCCATGCATCTTTCAAGAATGTACTAATAGTGCAGAAAAGAAATAAGGATGGGGCAGGGTCAAGCAGGACTTCAAGCAATAAAGTACCTTTTGCATATTACAACTCCCAAAGCTTTGGGGATCCTGGGGAGTTCTACAAGGCATTTCACAATTTCTCTTTCCTCCAGTATGTACAAACACATGCATGTTCATATCTTATGTGCACAGAATACTACTTTGTTCATAGTAGAAAATCCCAGAGCATATGTAATACTAGAGGTACAGTAAGTGACTGGCATCAAAATCCAACAGTTATTAGATTTTTTCCCTTTTCCATAAAAGGTTCTGTGCCAAGTCTATGGAAATTTGCAGATATTGTAATCTTTGCTTGATCACCTGATGCTCTTTAAAACATGAGATGTTACTTGCCTGATCACTAAGTGAAAACAGAGGGGAAAACCCAAAAATACGAATGCAGCCACTACATTTAAAGTGGTTGTACACCTCAGACATGAAATATGAACAAAGCACATATTTCTATAGTGATTACTTGCCTTTCTTCAAAGCACTAAGCGTCATTTCTCTCTGCTTCTCTTTTCCCCTGCTATCAGCATGAGTAGTGCCAAGCAAGTTTTCCTGACACTAAGAGCTAAAAAGGTGACAGGGGAGGGCACAGGCTGCAATTGACAGCTTCAGCTCTGTACCTGTTAGCTGTGTGACCCTTCCCTCCAATCAGCCCTTTAAGCTCTTGTACAGTGTGCAACTGCAGCTTCCCTGTCCCCTGCTTTGTGAATTTGAGAAAAATCCTTGTCATCTGAGATTTACAAGAATGTACAGGACACATAGCTTCAAATAAACAGGTACAACTTCCAGTGCCTTGAAAAGGTATTCATACCCCTTGAAAATGTCCACATTTTGTCATGTTACAACCAAAAATGTAAATGTATTTTATTGGTATTTTATGTGATCAACATAATCTGGCACATGATTGTGAAGTGGAAGGAAAATGATAAATGGTTTTCAAAAATTTTTTACAAACAAATATCTGAAAAGTGTGGTGTGCATTTATATTCACCACCTTTTACTCTGTTACCCCTAACTAAAATCCAGTGGAACTAATTGCCTTCAGAAGTCACCTAATTAGTAAATAAAGTCCACCTGTGTGCAATTTAAGTCTCAGTTTGTTAGAGAACATTAGTGAACAAACAGCATCATGAAGGCCAAGGAACACGCCAGACAGGTCCAGGATAAAGTTGTGAAGAAGTTTAAAGCAGGGTTAAGTTATAAAAAAATATTCCAAGCTTTGAACATCTCATGGAGCACCGTTCAATCCATTATACAAAAATGGAAAGAGTATGGCACAACTGCAAGCCTACCAAGACATTGCCGTCCACCTAAACTGATAGGCCGGGTAATGAAAAGCATTAATCAGAGAAGAAGCCAAAAGGCCCATGGTAACTCTGGAGGAGCTGCAGAGATCCACAGATCAGGTGGGAGAATCTGTCCACAGGACAACTATTAGTAGTGTGCTGCACAAATCTGGCCTTTATGGAAGACTGGCAAGAAGAAAGCCATTGTTGAAAAAAGCCATAAGAAGTCGCATTTGCAGTTTGTGAGAAGCCATGTGGGGGACTCAGCAAACATGTGGAAGAAGGTGCTCTGGTCAGATGAAACCAAAATTGAACTTTTTGGCCTAAAAGCAAAACGCTATGTGTGGCAGAAAACTAACACTGCACATCACCCTGAACACACCATCCCTACTTTGAAACATGGTGGTGGCAGCATCATGTTGAGGGGATGCCTTTCTTCAGCAGGGACAGGGAAGCTGGTCAGAATTCATGGGAAGATGGATGGAGCCAAATACAGGGCAATCTTAGAAGAAAACCTGTTACAGTCTGCAAAAGACTTGAGACTGGGGTGGAGTTTCACCTTCCAGCAGGACAATGACTCTAAATATACAGCCAGAGCTACAATGGAAATTGGAATGGTTTAGATCAAAGCATATTCATGTGTTAGAATGGCCCAGTCAAAGTCCAGACCTAAATCCAATTGAGAATCTGTGGCAAGACTTGAAAATTGCTGTTCACAGACGCTCTCCATCCAATCAGACAGAGCTTGAGCTATTTTTCAAAAAACAATGGGCAAAAATGTCACTCTCTAGATGTGCAAAGCTGGTAGAGACATCCCCAAAAAGACTTGCAGCTGTAATTGCAGCAAAAGGTGGTTCTACAAAGTATTGACTCAGGGGGGCTGAATACAAATCCATGCCACACTTGTCACATATTTATTTGTAAAAAAAAAATTCTGAAACCCATTTATCATTTTTCTTCCACTTCACAATTATGTGTCATTTTGTGTTGGTCTATCACATAAAATCTCAATAAAATACATTGACGTTTTTTGTTGTAACATGAAAAAATGTTGAAAATTGTCAAGGGGTATGAATACCATTTCAAGGCACAGTATGCAGGGGATTTGTTTCACCTTTATGTATTGCCTGAGGCTGGTCACTTGGGTATAGGAAAGGGTTTATAACCACTTTAAATATCGGTAAGCTGCAAAATAAAACAATTTGGTTTTGTGATTAATACCACTTCAAAATTCACAACAAAGTCGTTGAATTTTTTCAAGGTGTTTTCTCACCACATCAGCCTCCCAGTGGTACTGAATTTGTGTTTACATTAGAAAAGAGTTCTGGAAGACTGTTGGGAGGGAAAACTAAACTGAACTGTTTTGGACAAAGAATTCAGTGCTTCTACTGAACATTTTGAAGATGAATTGCTCCACAGTGCCTACAGCTACAGAGATTATTGATGGTTTGTTGTAAAGCTCATGTACTGTTTGTTATGAATATATAAATATTTGAATGTATATGGGACCTGTTTGCACCTGTAATCTATCCCAAGCAGTATCCAATCCAAAGCCCAGTTGTAGTGATGCAGTGGTACAAGAGAGTGCTACCATGTGAGCAAACAGAACTGTCCATGCTCCCAAAGAATTCAGCACAAATGCATTGCATGTTACAAATCAGAGCTACCACATTGCAAACTATAGCTGAGTTGGATGAGAGACTGGTTCTTTGAAAACACTGCATTCTCAACCTTATTATACAATGTATGACTTCAAATTCATGCAACAGCTCCCAAGGTCTGGCCTTTGTATATATACATATTTCTGACCTGTATATATTAAGAGCAAGTTTGCAGTTATTTTGTACACATGTTCTTAGTTTATAATGGTTAAAGAAAATGAACATATTTCAGGTTAATATTAAATTTTCCATATGAATGTTTGTGTTTTCATTTACAGTCAGCAGGTGTAGTTCTTGGCATATTTTCATATGTTTTAGGATCTCCTGTCCAATTTTGAACCACCTGTTGTCAATGGAGTTCAATAGCTCAAACTGAAATTTACCCACACAAGTGTATGAGTCAGAGCAGTGACAGCAACAAAGTACCTTTGACTATACAGCATGTATATTTATCAGCAAGCTTGATACACAGTGAGAAATAGTGTGTGGCAGTGTATTAAAGAAATACACCTAAAGGATAAGTTCACCTACATGTTACATGCAAAAGTACAAGAAGTGCAGCGCTACATCAAATTAAATGGCAAAGAAAAAATACAGTAAATTATCAATATAATCAAATAATACTAATATTAAAATAAGTCCACTGTAATATAAATATATGGATTCCTCAGTCCACAGTGAAATATCAGACGTTATAGGTGCAATCCGGTCTCCCGTTGTGATAATGTGAATAGATTGCCTACTCACCAGAAACCCAGTAATAAACGCATATCTGTATCACATGCATCCTAGGATCTTGAATAAAGACAGCCCGGAAATGAAATCCTCTGATGGACCCTCAGTGGTGAAAGAAAGGATACCGATCTGATCTCCAAGTATTTACTTCATCAAGTCTGCAGCAATACCTAAATCACTGGGGCAGTATACATCTAATGTGGGCCGCCGGACCTCCTGATCCGGCGGCGTAGCGTCAAAGCGTGCAGGGGCTCCTCCTAGACGCGTTTCGTGTAAACACACATCTGCAGTAGGGGTGATGCCCTAGGATGCCTTTCTTTCACCACTGAGGGTCCATCAGAGGATTTCATTTCCGGGCTGTCTTTATTCAAGATCCTAGGATGCATGTGATACAGATATGCGTTTATTACTGGGTTTCTGGTGAGTAGGCAATCTATTCATATTATCACAACGGGAGACCGGATTGCACCTATAACGTCTGATATTTCACTGTGGACTGAGGAATCCATATATTTATATTACAGTGGACTTATTTTAATATTAGTATTATTTGATTATATTGATAATTTACTGTATTGTTTCTTTGCCATTTAATTTGATGTAGCGCTGCACTCCTTGTACTTTTGAGTTTATTAGAAAGGTTTTGTGGTTCCTTTTAGTGCATTGGTCACTTGTCGGATTGCGCTCACTAACTTATATATTTTTTGATACATGTTACATGCAATTCGGTTTTGGGCACCAATTCACAAAAAGAACACTGGGGAACTGGAGAAAGTACAGAGAAGGGCAACCAAACAGATAGAAGGCATGCTGGAGATCAGCTATGAGGAAAGATTAGAGGAACTGAATTTATTCTCTCTTGAGAAGAGAGAGATTAACCACTTCCCGACCGGCCGTTGCATATAAACGGCCGGACGGTGGCACTGCAGGGACGGGTGGCCATTTATAAACGGCCTCCCCGCACCCTGCTTGTGCAGCTCCCTGGGAGCAGCGCAGCACCGCGATCTGGTGCCCGCTGTGTCCTCCGGACACAGTGAAACACCAATCGTCGGACGGGACCTCTGTACGAGGTCCCGATCATGTGATCACTGATTGGCCAATCAGTGATCACATGCAAAGTTGTAAGCAAGATGTCACTTCTGACATCATTGCTTACTACGTGTGAAATCTGTGAATGATCACAGAGGTCACATGGTACAAGTCCATTCACAAAAGCCTTGTACCATGTGACAAGCTGTGACCAATCACAGCTCACTCAGTACTTCTCAATGAGTGCAAGAATGCACACAGAGAGAAAGAGAAATGATTGCTTTTACATCCTATATGGGTGTAAAAGCAATCAGTGTAAAAAAAAAATAAAAAAAATCTTCATCACCCCCCACAAGTTGTACAGTGTCACCATGGTGACACTGTACTGCTAGAGTGACAGTATGTAAAAAAAAAAATAAAATAAAATAAAAAATAATAATATAAAATAATAAAATAAAAATGTAAAAAAAAAGTTTAAAAATTATAATTTTTGGTTATAAACTAATTTGGATTTTTTTTTTTTACTAAAAAGATAATGAAATAAATTTTGGCTAAGATTTATGATGAAATATTATTTATTTGCAAAATTTTATTAAAAAAAAAACACTTTTTTTTTTTCAAAATTTTTGGACATTTCATTTACATAGAAAAAAAAATACAAATCCCAGTGGTGAATAAATACCACCAAAATAAAGCTTTATCTGTCTAAAAAAAATGGTAAAAAAATTCATTTGGGTACAGAGTTGCATGACCGCGCAATTGTCATTCAAAGTGTGATAGCGCTAAAAGCTGAAAATTGCCCTGGACAGGAAGGGGGTAAAAGTGTCCGGTCTGGAAGTGGTTAAGGGGGGATATGATCAACATGTATAAATACATCAGTGGTTCATATAGTGAACTCGGTGTAGAGCTATTCACCCTGAGGTCATCACAGAGGACAAGGGGGCACTCTTTACGTCTGGAGGAAAAAAAATGTAATCTCCACATACAGAAAGGTTTCTAGAAAATATGGAATAGACTCCCTGAAGAGTTGGTTCTGGCCAGCTCAGTGGATTGCTTTAAAAAAAGGCCTGGGTTCTTTCCTAGATACACAGAATATAACTGGATACTAAAATTTAGAGGTAAAGTTGATGCAGGGAATATCCAATTGCCTCTCAGGGGATCAGGCAGGAATTTTTTTCCCTGCAGGAGCAAATTGGATCATGCTTTGCTGGTTTTTTTTGCTTTCCTCTGGATCAACTGTGGGTATAGGATTATAATTTTTTTTTTTTTTAATGGTTGAACTGGATGGATTTCTGTCTTTTTTTTTTCAGCCAGACTATTTATGTAACTATGTTACAATCCTATTCAGGGTGTACCTTCTCCTCGCTGTCACAATTTTTTTAAAATGTGGCTTCGCCCGCCTGGCCTTGTCATTCATTCACGGTGTTCTGTGAATGAATGAACTACAAATCCCGACAGTCTTTGTGGCTGTCAGCTTGTAGTTCTCAGTGAACTACCACTGCGCTGTGGAGCGCATGGTAGTTCATTGATTCTTTCTGTCAGTATATATGCTTGCCCGTACATTACGTACAGGCAAGCAGATATAGTGAAAGGTCCGCAGGAGACCTGTATGGCAACAGAAATCTGATGATCACTGGTGCAATGCTTTAGAGGCTTTAGAAACCAAAAATAATAAACGTACATATATTTTTACCTGCAAACATATGTGCATTTATTATTTTTTTCAAAAAGGTGAACTTATCCTTTAATATTTGAAAAGGAAAAAATTGTTATTCTGAGTTTACCTAAAAAGTAATGAACCTGTGGGAGGAACCCCCTTGGGCTAGAATCAGTAAAATCTAGGAGCCTGGAAGAAGTTTTAGGCTGGATTCACAGTTCCGAAGTGCAGTCAAGTCTGGCCTTACTGCAATACAAAGTAAGTGCATTAGGGCAATGCACTTGTATTGTAGTGTGTTAATGTGTTGTATGAAAAAAAAAGGGTTATGTGCGATTTTAAGCATATTCATTTGCCTTAATGCAAAGCACATTAACAAGCAACATAACGCACATTAACATGCATGCATTAACTCATCGCATGTACATACAATAGGGCCTTAAAGATCAGATCTTTCCAGTGAGAGTAACAAAAAAGATTATAGATGTTGTACAGCTTAAGAAAAACCCTTCGGCCAGCCAATTAGAGAGGGCTCAGCAACTTTTACCAGTATTATCTAATATCGCACGGGCAGTCCTGGTAAACCTTTCCAGTCCAGTCATTAAGTCCTCCAGTGATTGTGTTGTGAATATGTCAATATACCTGATTACAGTTGGGAAGAGCTCACTAGAATACAGGTAAGCACAGCAAAATGAGGAGGCCAGACAGCCTTTCCCGATAACAGCCAACACTATTCTCACAATTCTCAGATCTAAAAAGGAGCAAAAAGAAAATATTTTTTTTTAACAAATAAGGCTGTAACAAAGATGACCAATATGACACAAATTAATTTTCTTAGCCAAACAGCCTAGAGTATCTACCTTCTTCTGACATGTATCAGCTTTAGATAAGGGTGACCATACATGGATCAAGATTTGGCAGGCTAAATTTCGATCCATTATTTGTTTTTTCCTAAACTGATCAGTGAATTCTGATGGGAGGAATGAGGGGATGTCTCCCTGTAATCAGAACACAATAGCTCAGTGGGAGCATGGATGGGGTAATTGTGTAATTGTTTTTCTTTGTTCGTTCAACCTGCTGGATGGATGAAATAAGGAATTACTCTATGGCCAGCTTTAGTTTAAATGGGGGTTGATCTCCATCTACACTGGAGAGTAATTTCAATACCAAAACTTACAACACACAGAATTTTGTGGAACATTACTTGAATAAACAGGGGCAGTGTGAACCCCATTAAATCAAAGTCCATCAAGTCAAATAAATGCCAAAAGCTATAGAAAATACATATAATCAGCTGTGCCATCTTAATTAGACATATTAATTATGGGTTAATGCATAAAAATGCATTTTCCCATGTTTTAAAAAACAGTGCAAATTAAAAAAAATGTCTGATGTTCCCTAACTTTTTGTAGCAAGATGACAGCACTGTCTCTGCTGTGATGAAATCCCCAGTAGCGTTATCAACCATGCTTGTGGTATTCCTTGCGAGACTACAGAACACTTCCCCTTATGTTATGGAGATGATGAGGGGGCTGTTCTGTAGTTCAACAGGGGAGATCGGGGTAGGCTTGACAACTGTGCTTGGGATTTCAGTGCGACAGAGGCCCTGCATTGTCAGCTAACTACAGGAAGTTAGGAGCCGAGTTTATTTCAGCCAGGATCATTAGGTATTTTGAAAGAGGCAAAACATGAGGATATGTGTATGTATTGCAGAGATGTCCTGCATATTTTTTTATTTTGCCCAGGCATACGCTTTAAAGCCATTGCTTACATCAATACCTTATTTCTCATTATTTCGTTTATTTATTACAGGTATTTGTATAGCTCTGCCAATTTACATAGTGGTTTATGTTCGCATCAGTCCCTGCCCTAGAGGAGCTTACAATTTAAGGTCACTATCTCACATGCATACATACTCATACTAATGACAATTTAGACAGGAGCCAATAACTCTACCAACATGTCTATGGAGTTTGAGAGGAAACCAGAGTATCCAGAGGAAACCAACACAAGCAGAAGGAGAACATTCAAACTCCACGCAGCCAGTATCCTGGTTGAGATTCGAAACAAGGACCCCAATGCTGCAAGGCAGAGGGCCAACCACTAAGGCCCCATGTACACGGGATGTTTCTGAATGATGGAAACTGACTGTTGGAAAACGTAGATTACAAAACGTCTGTTTAGCCGCGTTTGCATAACGCGTTGATGTGCGTTTGCGTTTAGAAGCGTTTTTAAAGCTAAGCACAGGAGAACCTCCCAAATGCCCAGAATGCACTGAAAAGTGGTAAATTATTAACTATTTCAGACTGTTTCAGAGAAATACACACAGTAGAAGCAGAGACAGCAGTATGTGTTGAGATAGGTGTGAGTTGCTCATTAAAATAAAAGTCTAAAATGTAATAAGTATTTTTAAAAAAAAACATATATCCCTTTTTTTCATTCTGTGTAAGGCTCCACGCACACTAGCGTTTTTTTTAAGCTCCTTGAAGCTATTATCAGCATATTTATTTCTGCTCCTAGAAGCTAAATAGTGTTATATCATATGTGACCATGCACACTACTTTAGGCTATTAGCATTTTTTGAGCTTCAGTGTCTAGAAGAAAAAAAAAATTGTTTTTGTAGAGTTTTTTTGTGCGTTTTTCCTGCAGAAAAAGATGCTAAACACTACTAAAACGCTCCTAACAGCTTTTTACTAGCTTTTTTTCCCCTCTATATGCACTGGAAAAATGTTAATAAAATGCAAACGCTCCCAAACTCTTCTGAAGGCTACTGAAATGCTACTAAAAACGCTATTGCCAGAGGTTTTTTCCAGCATTGTTTGAGTTTTAAAAAAACGCTAGTGTGCATGGGGCCTAAAAGCGAAGACATAATGTGCATAAAGTGGGGTTTACTCAAATTTGATTGCAAAAGTGGAAATAAACTCTTTATTTACACAGCAGAGAATGTTTAACAATGATAAAAACACTGTTATATGGTTGGTATAATTCTGACTCCCTCAAGTCACTATTTGCATAGGAGGAGCTAACTTTCCCCATAATAATGTCATTGTCTACACAAAAAAGCACCAGGCATGCATTGTGGAATGGGAGCAGGGACTAATCCTAATCTCTTCTGCAGGAGGTGAAGAAGCATAAGGGGCTTTGGGTGGTTCTGTGCACCAATGCTACAATTTGTATGTCATGTACAGACAGCTTATTCTCTCAGCTCAGCTTGCCACATTTTGCTGGCTGGAAGCTGAAAAGTTGGAAATTTGGGTAGAGAGTTAAACACAGGAGTGGTACTTTTGATTGCTGATGGTTGTTTGTGGTTGCAATTGTTTTATTTCCTCTTTTTGGGATCTTTACTAACAACTTTTAAAACACCCTTACTGTCACATTTTAAACATTCTGCTAATTAAAGAGAGTGGTTATTTGTTCACAGGTGCTACAAGTACTCCATAACTTTCTGTAGAGCTCACATTAGAGCTTGCTGGAACTTTCAAAAAGTGGAAAATTTGAGTAAGTGGTGAGTTAAAAACAAGAATTTAAAACAAAATACTTCTAACCTGCAAGTACAGTCTGAAATTTCCTGAGTAATATTGATATTGTAACTGGGATAATGAGTGCAAGCGGAGATTTTGCACAGTGTGCCGCATGTATACAATAATAGAGCAACAGCCCCAGGATGTATACCGCTGCGACAGATGTGAGTGGGTTGCCCTTCTGGAAGTTCAAATTAGAGATCTGGAGGAGCAAACTGCAACACTGTGCAGAACTGACAACCTTGAATGGAATCTTCTGTTCTGAGCATGTAGTTAAAGGGATTAATGTAGTTAAAGGGAGGGGTAAATCAGGATTTTCAGATAGGAAAATGGGTTACTGTAGTTAGAGGTAGTGGTAGGGGCTCACAGAACAGGAAGGCCAGCCCTGGGTTTGAGCATCCAAACAGATTTGCCAAGTTGAGTGAAGATGTTGGGGTGGCAAAATTTAAGGTTGATGTGGCAGCCCTAGATGTCACTGCTACCCCTAACAGATGGGAGAACAGGCATGGAGAGGGTAGTGCAAGAAGGCCTAGACAGTTTTTGGTAAGAGGGGATTCTATAATCAGAAGGACTACAATAATTTGTTGTCAGGATCGCCTCAACCAAATGGTTTGCTGTCTCCCTGGTTCAAGGGTTTGACATGTGGTGGATTGGGATGATAAATTACTGGGAGGGGCTGGGCATGACCCAGCTGCCTTGGTCCATGTTGGAACCAATAACAAAATACACATAAGGTGGAGGCCCCTTAAGAATAAATTTAAAGAACTAGGCTGGAAGTTGCAAGACAAGGGGAGCTTAAAGAACTGAATGCATGGCTAAAGACCTGGTGTGAGAAGGAAGGATTTGGGGTTCTAGAGAACTGGGCTGACTTTTCATTGGGGTACAACCTATATACTAAGGATGATTTTCACATAAATGGGAGGGGGGCTGCTGTGCTGTTCATTTATGGGAAGGCTGGAAGAGTACTTAACCACTTGCCTACCAGGCACTTATACCCCCTTATTTACCAGGCCAATTTTCAGCTTTCAGCGCTGCCGCACTTTGACAATTGCGCGGTCATGCAACATTGTACCCATATGAAATTTTGATCATTTTTTTCTCACAAATAGAGCTTTCTTTTGGTGGTATTTAATCGCCACTGGGCGCTTTACTTTTTGCGCTATGAATAAAAAAAAGTGCAAAAAATTTGAAAAAAAAAAAAAAAGTTTCTTTGTTTCTATTATAAAATTTTTCAAACAGGTATTTTTTCGCCTTCACTGATGTGCGTTGATGAGGCAGCACTGATGGGCACTGATAGGCGGCACTGATGGGCACTGATAGACAGCACTAAAGGGCACTGATAGGCAGTACTAATGAGGTGGCACGGATAGGCGGCACTGATAGACAGCACTAATGATGTGTCACGGATAGGCGGCACAAATATGCAGCACTGATAGGCGGCACTGATAGGTGACACTGATGATGGGTACTGATAGACGGCACTGACTGGCATCACTGCTGGGCACTGACTGGCGGCACTGACTGGCACAACCCCTGGGCACTGACTGGTGGCACTGACTGGCAGCACTGCTGGGCTGCACTGGTGGGTGGCACTGGTGGGCAGCACTTGTGGGTGGGCACAGGTGGGTGGCATTGGTGGGCACAGGTGGGTGGCACTGCTGGGCACAGGTAGGTGGCACTTCTGGGCACAGGTGTGTGACACTGCAGAGTGGCACAGGTGGGTGCACTGCTGGGCACAGGTGGGTGATCTGCTGGGCACAGGTGGGCGGAGCTAGTGGGCGCACTGCTGGGCACAGGTGGGCGGAACTTGCGGGTGGCACTGCTGGGCACCGATCATCAGGGCACTGATCATCAGTGCCCTGATGATCGGTGCCGATCCTCGCTCTGACAACTGCCGGTTCTCGGCAGTATTTTCCTCACGATCTGACAGCGTGAGGAAAGTGCAGCCGAGAACCGGCACTTGCATTTCCCTGTGATCAGCGTGTCATTGGACACCGCTGATCACGTGGTAAAAGGCCGCTGTGATTGGCCTTTTACCACATCACGTGATCAGCTGTGTCCGTAGGACACAGCGATCACAGAGATCGCCGGGTGCGCGCCCCCTGGGGCGCGCAGGAGAGCGCGTTCTGGGAGGACGTCATATGACGTCCACTCAGAACTGGCCGGCCGCAGTGCAGCCATCA